ATATGTATAGAAGTCTGTGGAAATAACACGTACACCACAATCAATGAGTAATATAAGTCAATGGAAAGCTTCAGAATTCAACAATTTTTTAATTTATTATACTCTGCCTTGTCTAAAAAAATTTGCTTCCTTCAATTTTTTACAAACATTAGTCTTTACTCGTCTATTCGCTGTGTGCGTAGAGACTAGTGCTGCCGCGGTTGGTGAAATATCGCATATTTTGCTGGAATAGCTGTCAATGATTGCTAATATTCAAGTTACATAAACTGTCGTGAGGTATCTTGATAGTTTTAGGTCTCTTTATAATTTCGATGAAAAAATTTTCGTTATATAACAAAACATTTGCTATAAATTTTTCATTATATGTGTAGGTTAACTTCTCTAACTTTTGCAATGAGCCTTATCATACGAACGGGATTTGTACCCATTACTCATGACATTAAATTTAATCCGAGTGCAATACCGAAAGGAAAAGCCTTAGCAATATCGCATGTAGTTCGCGTTGAAGAATTGCGCAGTGAAAATATAAGTCATTTAATAAGATGCAGTGTGAGAGATACCGCAAACGTCTGTCAATGCTACTCCGTACAAGGTACAATTACATGTAAATATTAAATGAAATTTAAGTAAAATCCCAGACAACGTTATGTCGTCTTAAAGACATCTTAAATCTGTGAAATACATTTTTATATGAATACACGCAACAATTTAAATTTCCCTTTCGCAATTTTTCCATTTTTCGATAATTGTCACTCCAGCAAATAATGCAAACTTCGGCCACCATGAGCGCCCTAGTCCTACTTTTCCGCTATAGTATATCATCGCACGAAGCGAATAGTATTAATATATTTGATAGTAAAAAAATTGAAACTCCAGCATATAAAAATGCTACAAGGGCAATAAAAAAATTTGTAAGCGACACTGAAATGGCATGGAACTTATGAAATTTAACGTACATTTATTGCTGCATGTACCAAAGTTAGTTAAAGATTTTGGAGCTTTATGGGCATGGTCTGCTTTTCCTTACGAAAGTTACAATTTTGTTCTAAGAAATATGTTGCATAGTTCTCAAACAATTTTGCAACAAAGTTGCAAATCATACTTGAGATTTCAAACAGTTAAATACATAGACATTTTTTCTAAAACAAATTGTAGTATAGAAGGTAAAAATTTGTACCTGAAAATGTTAGGAAATTATAAAAGTAGAACTGGATACAGAACAATCGATAATCGTTTAATTATATATGGAAATGGTAAGATTGTGTCCTTAAGTACTATTGAAAAGTTATTGATCCAAGTGTTTTTAACAGAAAACATTCAAGACCATGCCGTATCTTATGAAAGATTTCTTTTTAATAATGTTTTATATCACTCAAGTACATATGGAAAATTATGTAAGCGAAATAATAGCATTGTTGAGACAACATTTGGTACTTTTATGAAAATCACAGGAATTGTTCGTATTATAACATTGAACGAAATGGAAAAGTACATAATTGTTGGAAAATCTTTTGAAGTATTAAATGACATTTTGTGCACATATAATTATATTTCGTCATCAAGCTACTCTTACTCAATTAGAAAGACTAATAATATTACGACTTGTTTACCACAAAATATTCGCTGTAAATGTATTCTTTTACCATGTAATGATAAGTTTCATATAATGAAACTAGTTAATAAAATGGAAACTGATTAATATATACGTACTTAATAAATGGAATATTTGTATGTGTAGTAAAATATAAACTTTGCGTACCTTTAATATATCTTATGGTCATTATTTTATACCGTTAACTTAAATTATATGGTATTCATGTTGTATTATTTGATAATGTTTTGTTTTAACATATAACATTTGTTCTATTAATACAAATAATTAATGTGGAGTATTGTAAGAAACACATTACTGTTAATAAACATTATTTATTTCCGGTTTACTTAAAAAAAATTGTAAGTATATTTTTCACTTTAGAACAGATTTTATTAAAGTACAACCAATATTTTTAATTGTTTTCGTAAAAAATTTGAACGTAATCTTTTTTAAACAATACTCAAATGTTTGCGGACGTTCACACTTAACATTTCAATATTAATACTTAACCATAAAAGTTAACACGCAGAAGTAACCCTTGAGAATATTAATCTTAAAAATAACACTGAATGGTACACACTCATCTTTTGAGTGTCATACCCAAGTATTGGGAGTAAACTTTTAAAGTTTACTCTCACTCAAACTTGAGCGTGAACACTTAGACATTGGGTATACACACTCAAGCTTTTAGTGGATACACTCACTTTTGAGTATCTATAAATACTAAATACATGGGTGTGCACACTCAATGTTTGAGTGTAAATATCCAATCTTGAGTATAAACACAAAATTAACACTCGAACATTGAGTATACGTATATACTCAAATGTGAGAACAAACTACCAAAATTGAGGGTTAACCCTACAATTTGAGTGTTTAACCAAAAACTCGAGTATTTTTTCCGTAAGGGTATCGACACTATAGCTTGAATTTTCGTTGAATTTTTTCGAAACTTAGTGCCTATGAATTCTTTGAGTTGCTGATTATGAATCTGATGTCAGATTTTCAAAATTCAAGATGGCGGATCCAATATAAAAAAATTAATTTTTTTATATTGGATCCGCCATCTCGAATTCTTAGACAATAATCACATAAAAATTTTACGATGTTACGAGATTTACGAAATTATTTTTATGTGATTAATGTCTTATCATGAGCTATCATTTGGCATAAAATTTATTTGAAAAATCGAGGACCGAAAAACGGGCATTTTTTACACCCTTTTTGCGGTTGTTCTTTAATCGGCTGATTAAATTAATCGTAGATGATGGAACCGGCCTCATATTTGTGAGGACAATATGAACTCAGAATGCATATTTTGCTATCTGGGTACATCTAAATTCACTGTTTCACAGTTTTTGGATTTTTTAATTATAACAATTATTTAATCATAAAACGATGAAAATCGTCGGTTACGGAAACTACGAAGGTCGAGGTCGACTGTTGCACGTCAAGCAGTCGACCTTTGCATCATCAAGATGGCGCTGAAAGGTTTATCGCCATGCGGGACATATTTCCCTTTCGCGGACGCATTGCTTCTGCCGGCGCTTCAACGGCAGCGCCAGTTGCGCGCTTGGCGTCCTCGTAAGGGTTTCGTGGTTTATGTTGTTCTCCGAGTTCCGCGGCGTTGGTTGTAACCGAAGCACGCAACGCAACGCGTCTCACTATTCCTGCAGGATAGATGCAAAGTCGTTGGTAATCTGGCGGCGGTTTTTATGATCTCGTAACCGGTCGTACGCGTGTGTGCGAACGTGAGTGAGAGAAAACGATAAAGCGTCCATTGGCGCATCTGCAAAGGGGTGAGTTCCTCGCGCTTTTGTTTCCGTATTCGTGTGCGCGCGGGCGCACGCGATCTGCTCGCCGATAAGTCGCGTCGTATTATTAAAGCCGGTTCTACATCTGTCGTATCGTAGTATCGCAAGAGTCGTAAAGACTGGTTCGACACTGATTGGTCGAATCTATAATTTTCAACACTTGCAACGCTATGTTACGATCAATGTAGAACCGTCCAATACGGCATGAGTATTTTTAAGATCGAAGATTTATACAGATTCGAAATTCAAAATTTTTTGTGCAACTTCGCATAACTGATTGCGAATTTGATGAATACACGACCCTACCTTTCAGTTTTCAGCTATATTCAGGTGATGAATGTATAGCGTCGTCACGCTGGTCGTGTCGTTCTAAGCACTTTTTTGCAGAATGGAGTGTTTATTGTTGAACAAAAAATATAGACCGTGTTTTCATATTTCCACTGATTATGATACGTTAAATTTTGCTTAAATAGTTTCCCCGGTTGTATCGTGTCACGTTTACTTTTACGGTTTTTAAGGGGTTACACCACAGTGAATACCTGGAAACATAAGGTAACTTTGGGAATTTTTTGTAGTTCAATAATAAAATGAATGAAAAATCGCTTTTAAGGCCAATATTGTATATATCTTGAACTATATAAAACAATTAAAAGAAATGTTTTGCATCAAAATGGCGGTACAAAAGTTTTGTAAATAAACCTGGTTTTTTTTAAGTTCTCCGGGACTTGCAACAGAAGTTCAGTACACTTTTAGCTATGATAAAAACAAATTTTTTTCATGGTCTACATTAGATTTGTTAGAAAAGTACACACGTATATGTTAAAATATTGATTTTTGTAAAAATGGTGAGCATGTGAAAAAACGTTCATTCCTATCTAAAAAATTTAGTGAAAAATTATTGATAACAAAAGTATTTAACCAATTGTAAAAATCATGTGTATTTCTCTAGAGAATTTAGTTTAGAAGCCACTGTCAAAATTTCAAGTGAATTAAATTAAATTTGTTAAAGTTATGCTGCAATTAATAATAAAAGCCAAATTAAAAATGTGATCCACTTGCAGAGCTCCTACGCTGTTATTTTATAAATGCAAAAGAATTCTTTTAAGTGTTTTATATAGTTCAAGATATATCTTAAACGACTTGAACTATATAAATTTGTACAATATAGACCTTGAAACCAAGTTTTCATTCATTTATTATTGAGCTACAAAAACTGCATAAAGTTTTACCTTATGTTTTCAGGCATTCACTATAGTGTAACCCGTTACGGCCGAAAGTAAAGGAACGTAATATATAATAATATTTTCTGCTTAATTTTCTATTCTTTGATCAAGAAGGAAGCTGAAACTCCCATGTTACTTCTTTGTTCACTTTTCTCTGGATAAGAGCTTTTTCAAACAGGACAGTTATTATTTGAAGGAATATGAAAAATTCTAGCTTTTAATAAAATTCAATGTAAATACCTACATAAACATTGAAATATTTTTACTATTTAAACGTTAAATATCATAGACAATATTATTCGATATTTATCTCAAAGATAGTGATATTGTGATCTCAATGTTGCACGAAAAAAAAATGCTGTAGAGATCAGAAGATTCACAAACATTTCATATTATTTATTTTATTTGTAAAAAATTTTGAATGGTTATTAATAGAAGTAGGTATATTTATACATACATATACAGGATAGCCAAGTACACATATATATACATATATATTTATATATAGAGGATAGTCTGTGTCATATTGATTCACAAAGTTGGAATTTGAAAATAAAATAAAATTCTCCCAAGACCCTCATGTTTTCGTGTAAGGCGTATTAGTGTGTGTGAAGCTGGCATATCATTTCGTGGAAAATCACTAATTTTTTAGAGTTCTGACTTCCTTTCTAATAGTTCTAGAGTTCCTGATACATTAAACACATAGTTCTGGCTTTTAAGACCAAAAAATTGAAAAGTGCAAACTGATTTGCTAACTTCACGCTGCAAATCACTTTGTCCCCGGATGATTTCCTAATTATTTCTGCTAGGATTTTTATCGCATTCTCATATTTATCGGTTCTATTGCATAGAACCTGTAGAAAACGCTTATACATATATTTTCGGAACTATGCAAGAACTATTTGTAGAAAGTCAGAACTCTGTTATTTCGGACAGCAAATCACCTTTTGTCTTCATGAGGATCTATTTGTAGAGTGATAAAAATTTTTTAAATTATAAAAATAATGTTCTTTCGCCAGAACTTTTTCTAGAACTATTGCAGAACTCTCATGCGATAAAAATCCTAGCAGAAATAATTAGGAAATCATCCGGGGACAAAGTGATTTGCAGCGTGAAGTTAGCAAATCAGTTTGCACTTTTCAATTTTTTGGTCTTAAAAGCCAGAACTATGTGTTTAATGTATCAGGAACTCTAGAACTATTAGAAAGGAAGTCAGAACTCTAAAAAATTAGTGATTTTCCACGAAATGATATGCCAGCTTCACACACACGGCGTTTTATGCACAGAAATTTTCTTTTACATCCAACAACGAAACGACGACAGGTCAACGTTGTGGTTAGCGTCGTCACGACCAGACGTAAACCGATCGATCATGTGGCATCAGTCTTCGAACTAGTGGACAATCGGTGCATACGATAGCATGCATTTCTTCGTTCTTCGCAATAGAAATGATCACGAATTTACACAATTTTATTATAAATATCGAAATATATGTATATAACCCTTTTTGTTTGTATAGAACAATTTCTATCTCGAAGATAATGAGATTACGATATCGCTATATTCGAGATAAATATCGAATAATACCATCTACGATATTTAATGATCAAATAATGAAAGTATTTCGATATTTTTAAGGATTACTTGTTTCAAATATCAGATTTGTGAAAGTTGATTGTAAAGAAGTGAAAAATTTTCATAAAATATATATTTACATGTATCTACGTATAACTGTAATGTATTCAATAAATAAAATTTGCGGCTTATTTTTATTTTATAAGACAGAGAATACTTTACACTGTTATACATACGCGCGCGCGCGCAAAACACACATACACACGCGCAACTGTTTTTATATATGTATAATTATTAACATTTTTACAAAATTATTTCGTAATAAATAAATAATGTTTTGCTTCAAAAAGTTGACTAGAAATGTAAACGAGCGTTAATTGTCATTAAAATTCTTAATCTTTCTAAATCTCCATCTCGAGTATATTCTCTTCGTATAATTTAACTGCGGTCCTCACAATGATAGAATGATTCAACCAGCCGTGGTAAATCAAATTTGGTTGATCGGGGTAGCACGCTAAATCATTTAAGCGACCATACTCTACGGTGAGTGCACAGTATTCGTAGATTGTTTGATGCACGCATGGCTATAAATCATGACAATGTATTGCCAATTATACATCGAACGTGGCTTCTCCTTCGATGAGAGAGTAATCATCGGAGGTTTGCATACATAATTGTTTCTGATTTACCAAATCATCGAGCGAAAAGTAACTTTCAAGTATTATCAAAATCGATGGTTACGAAAAATTACTTTATGTAAAAGAATTATTCTTATAATTAGATAAAGAATTATAATCTTATAATTAGTAAAATTGCGTTTTTTTAATCGTTATTTGTCAATCAAAAAGAAATTCGACAAAGCGAGGGCCGTGTGTTTCTCTCACGAGATTCTATTTTCGCACATACTGATTTTTCTGCACGTGCTTATACTATACATATACGTTTCGTAGTGTTACTTTTCCAAGACTTCCAAGGCGAAACGTATCAATTTGCCATAAAAGTATAAATATCGAGGAAAACAAGTCAACTGAGGTGCAGATCTCAATAAAGTGCTCTGCGCGAACGAAAGAAAACTTGTTGAAGAATGTTGAAAAAGATGTCAGCTTGAAGAAACTTAACTTTGAACTACCTGTGAGAAATCTCGCAATACTTTGAAAAGATTCGCAAGGCTCGATTATATAATAACTTTGGCGCTGTACCTTACAGCAAATTATAATGCCTCAAAGTAGCGGATGAAGACGATAAATTATCGTTTGCTATGCCATCCTTGTATGTAGCTGTTAAATGGCAATTGAATATGATTCGTGCACCAAATATCTAAAATAAAATGGGTCATCGAATCACGGACTCTGTTGAATTTTAAACCGATTCTCTCTCGACGAGAAAATTCCGACGTGTAGCCGTCATAATATCGTAATCTTCAACGTTGATCGAACAAGCAAGAGTGTCTTGACAACGTGTCAAGTCAAATTCGCGATAAGACTTAACGCCCGACTCTTAATTGAACGCGGGCTCTCTCCCGCTCTCGATTTCAGGAGTAGAGAATGAGCCTGGTGGATCAGGACAAAAGCATGGACAAGAAAGAGATCGAGAAGGAGGAAAGGGAGAAGATGCTGAATGCCGAGAACACGAAGCACATCGGCGCCGCACCTGTGCCCGATCTCGAATCCGAGGAACAGAAACCGAAGAAGAAGATACCGATCGGTGGCATCAAAATGCCCGGATTCTGCCGTACGAAGAGCAAGGAGCCGTGCAAGGTAACGCTGCAATATTTTATCTGTGCCGTACTTTCCGCGCGGTGTCTCAAATTCTACCTGGATGAGACAAGTCGTAGCATTTTACGGCATTTACGACATTCCGACGTTAACTCTCTGTATTAGATGCGCTCACCCCTCGTTTTACCTTCGCACTTTCTACACCGTTAGTTTTGTATTTTTCTCACGTAGGATCGTGCCCGGCATAAGCTTCGTTTTAAGTACAGCAGGTGTAGAAAACGCGGCATTAATAGACTTATTGTTTAGTATCACCTGCTCTTACGTCATCGGCGCTCGCCCGCATAATTGTGGCTTCTATCGCGTTTCAAATCTGCGAGACGATCGCGAAAAGGTCACAAGAATGCTAAATAGTGATGCATTTAAATAACGCGACGGTGAATTGACTGTCCGAATTTGAAGTCTTTGAAAAAATGTACTCAAATGGATTCTCACGAGGAGGAAACCGTTGACCAAAATCTTGTACGCCAATGCCCACTAATGCCCAGTGGACATTACTTTATCTTATTATCTTATTATCTTATTATCTTATTATCTTATTATCTTATTATAACACGGCATTGACTGTCCGGATATATTGAGTAGGATAAACCTAAATGTCCCATTGATGAACCTTAGGCAGTGCGACATAGGTATTCCTA